GAACACATTCTTGCCAAGGACGAAACGCCGGCAAATTTCGAACAAGCGGAACACATGATTAAACGACACGAGGCATTTATGACTACCATGGATGCCAACGATGAGAAAATCAACTCGGTTGTACAGTTTGCCGGACGTTTGGTTGATGAAGGACACTTTGCGGCCGATAAGGTGAAGAAGAAGGCCGAGAACATCAACGACCGTCGACGAATTAATCGCGAGAAGGCTAATTTACTTATGGAGAAACTCAAGGATCAGCTTCAATTACAGATGTTCCTACAAGATTGCGAGGAACTCGGTGAATGGGTACAGGAGAAACATATCACTGCTCAAGACGAAACATACAGAAGTGCGAAGACTATTCATAGCAAGTGGACTCGTCACCAAGCGTTCGAAGCGGAAATCGCCAGCAACAAAGATCGCTTGCAGCAATTACAGCAAGCCGCAGACGAATTGATTCAACAAAAACCGGATCTAGCGGAGATTATCAAACCGAAGGTCGCCGAATTGGCTGAACAATTCGTCGATCTGGAGACCACGACTCATGATAAGGGTGAGCGATTGTTCGATTCGAATCGCGAGGTATTGATACATCAGACCTGTGACGATATCGATTCGTGGATGAACGAACTAGAGAAGCAGATAGAGAGTACCGATACCGGTTCTGACCTGGCGTCCGTGAATATATTGATGCAGAAGCAACAGATGATCGAGACTCAAATGGCGGTGAAAGCGAAACAGGTTACTGAATTGGACAAACAGGCGGAACATTTGCAACGTACAGTACCGGATGATAAAATGGAGGAGATCAAGTGCAAGAAGGAGAAAGTCGCCCAGAGATTCGCTCAGCTTAAGGCACCGCTCATCGATCGTCAACGGCATCTCGAGAAGAAGAAAGAGGCCTTCCAATTCCGACGCGACGTCGAGGATGAGAAGCTGTGGATCGCAGAGAAAATGCCGCAAGCAACTAGCACTGAGTACGGAACTTCACTGTTTAACGTTCACATGCTAAAGAAAAAGAATCAGTCATTACGCACGGAAATTGAAAATCACGAACCCAGGATCAATTTGGTATGTAATAATGGGCAGAAGCTGATTGATGAAGGACACGAGGACAGTCCCGAGTTCCAGAAACTAATATCCGAATTGACTGAGAAGTGGCGCGAGCTGAAGGACGCGGTCGATGATAGAAATAAACATCTGCTGCAGAACGAGAAGGCGCAGCAGTACTTCTTCGATGCCACTGAGGCCGAGTCGTGGATGAGCGAGCAAGAGCTGTACATGATGGTCGAGGATCGTGGTAAGGATGAGATCTCTGCCCAAAATTTAATGAAGAAGCATGAATCACTTGAACATGCGGTTGAAGATTACGCGGAGACGATTCGCCAACTAGGCGAGACCGCTAGACAACTGATAAATGATCAACACCCGTTGGCCGATCAGATCGCCGTGAAACAATCGCAGGTGGACAAACTGTACGCCGGTCTGAAAGATCTGGCTGGTGAGCGACGAGCCAAACTGGATGAGGCACTCCAATTGTTCATGCTAAACCGAGAAGTTGATGATCTCGAACAATGGATCCAGGAGAGAGAACTGGTCGCTGGTAGTCACGAGTTGGGTCAGGATTACGATCATGTGACGTTATTGTGGGAAAGATTTAAGGAGTTTGCGCGCGATACAGAAGCAATTGGTTCCGAGCGAGTGGAGGCCGTCAATGGTATTGCAGATTCTCTTATCGCCACCGGGCATTCTGATGCGGCAACGATCGCTGAATGGAAGGACGGTTTGAACGAAGTTTGGCAAGATCTGCTGGAACTGATCGAGACCCGCACACAGATGCTGGTGGCCAGTCGCGAGTTGCACAAATTTTTCCACGATTGCAAGGACGTTCTCGGCAGAATCTTAGAGAAACAAAACGCTATGTCTGACGAATTGGGTCGTGATGCCGGCTCGGTATCCGCCCTCCAACGTAAACACGCCAACTTTATTCAGGATCTGTCCACGTTGCAGAATCAAGTATCGCAGATCGAGGAAGAATCCGCCAAACTGCAGGCAAGCTACGCGGGCGACAAAGCGCGTGAGATTACAAATCGTGAAGCCGAGGTCGTAGCAGCGTGGAATAATTTGCAATCGTTATGCGAAGGCAGCCGAGCTAAATTGGAAGAAACCGGCGCTCCATCCCTTCAATATGGTCAGGACCCTGATGATCTGGATGGATGACGTTGTGCGCCAGATGAACACGTCTGAAAAACCGCGCGATGTTGCTGGCGTTGAATTGCTGATGAATAATCATCAGAGCTTGAAGGCGGAGATTGATGCCAGGGAGGATAATCTAATGGCGTGCATTAATCTCGGAAAAGACCTCTTAGCTAGGAATCATTATGCTAGCGCGCAGATAAAGGAGAAATTGGCAGCATTAACCGATCACAGAAACGCATTGTTACACCGATGGGAGGAACGTTGGGAAAACTTGCAACTCAGTAAGTTGCATTTGCTATTTAAAAAATGCATTTTGATCTTGTATACTTGTATGATATATTGTCTGTATGATATATTTAATACTCATTTATTTACGTTTGCTATAGTTTTGGAAGTTTATCAATTTGCTCGAGATGCGGCAGTTGCTGAAGCATGGTTAATTGCTCAAGAGCCATATCTTATGAGCCAGGAGCTTGGTGTAAGTAATTAAATTGCAAACACGAATTTTTAATTGAACGTTTTTTTTTAAACTTATATTTTTCACAGCATACTATCGATGAAGTTGAGAATTTAATCAAGAAACACGAAGCTTTCGAAAAATCGGCAGCTGCACAAGAAGAAAGGTTTAGTGCCTTGCATCGACTTACTACTGTAAGTAGTTATACAGAAAATTTCTGACTGGATAGCATAATAGAAAAACTTGTAGAATACTTTCTGTTGTGTCATATGTCGTTTAAATAAGTAAATCTTCCACAGTAAAATGTACTGTCGTATTTCCATTATGTCAGAAATTAATACAATTTATAAGGTATAGAATATGATTTAGCATAAATATAGAAATAAATAATCTTCATATTTTTAATGCAGTTTGAATTGAAAGAGCTAAAGCGACGAGAGCAAGAAAGGGAAGAAGAAGAAAGACGCAGAAGGGAGGAGGCGGCAGCGGCAGAAGCTGCACGTTTGGCCAAGGCGACACCTGTTACTAGTCCAGATGAACCACCTAGCGATAGGTAATACAAATATTTTTGTAATCTGTGTCACAATATTATATACGATATTATGAATGAATGTTGTATATTACAGAGCTGAAACTGACGGGGCAACAAGCGGAGAACGTGGAGAAGATGAGGGACACGGTAATATAATTGCATATAATGGATATGTTTTGGGTTTTACTAATCGAATAATCTGTGACAACTTTTCTCGGTACTTACCGCATCTTCTAATTCTGTCTACGGTTTTGTATTCTATTTGAAGATGCTGATATAGAATAACCGGTATATAACACGCACATTATTTAGAATATAATGTTGAGTGCTTTTTTCTAATAGAATTGTATTTTCGAGTTTGTATGACTATTGATTTGGCGTGGTAATGATTGCGATTGGTAGTAATATTGTAAACCGAAAGAGAAAAAGCGGAATAAGAGTAACGTTTCATCTCTTCTCATGACTAATAATCGCGATGTAGAGTAAAATCTTGCTTTTGACGTAAAATTCAACTCTGATGATTTACGTATTATGAATATGGATTGTCTGGATAAGCATGTGACATCGCTAACAGCACGTTTATTTTTGCCTTTTCCCACCCAAACCTGCCGAAACTTATTCCGATCCGTATCGAATCCATCCTCCACGTCATCTCATTTTATCCAACCCCTAAATGCACCCTAATGCGGCACGGAATGCACAAACCACAGCAGCACATCGCAAGGCTTCTACACGTACACCACAGCCTCAAGACAAACCCAAGGAAGGTGAGTGTTACGCGATATGAAACTTGTCAAAGCGAACATCTTTCTAATTCCTCCGCAACTCTTTCGAAGCTACAATCTCAAGTGGATCATATCTTGTGTATAGGTTCACATAATTTCACAAACTGGTGATGGATGATCAAGTCACGTCTTCGTAGCAGTATTTAACGACAGCTTTGTTCTTCAGATTCCATGTTAGCATTAAGTCACACATCGCAATAATCTTACATTTTCCAGCATATTCGTAGCCACGTCGCACCTATCGCTTTCGCATAAATCACCATTTTATTAACTTTTTCTCTAGCAGGTGATGGCCCGTTATTCTACCAAAGATGTCTCTTCTGTCGTCTGACATCGATTATGTCACGAGAAAATAATTTATCAAACATTTTTGATATTTAACATGCACATGTGTAAAATCACATATAATAATTTGATACGATAAAATATCAAGCGAAATTCTAATAGTCACAATTTTTGGTCATACTAATCCATTGTGAACCATTTCATTCATCTGGTAGGTACATTTGTTAACTATACTATATTTCGTTCTCGTCTATCGTATGATTACGTTAAAATGTAATGCTTGAATATCTTATTGGAAGATAAGCACATTCGAAATCATCTCATTATTCTAAGTCTCTTAAGAAGCAAGAAATTGGGTTCTGTCCTTTATGTACGTGTTGTATAGGATTTACTTGAATATTCGGACGGTCATACCACTACGAAGAATTGAATTCGTGATTAACGTCGAGTTATGCTAATCATAGCAATCGAGTAATTGTTATTGGTATAACCGTGACGAATATATATCATGCATTTAACAAATGATGTATTATCCAAATAATGCATAGCATGATTTTGTGATTGGTGTGGTGTAGTGCATGCACAAAGACCTAGACAGCTGTCTTTCCGGGAAGGAGATGGGACTCAACCTGTCACGCCAACATCTGTGAAAACTCCACCGCATGGTACTCGCACGCCAACAAGTAAGTGTTCGCAAATATTCAAATCTCAAGCTACATGTGTTAAAAAGTTAAACATTTATTAATATTTCCCGCCATTGATATTAGCTGCCATGATATTACCGTGAGTGATTGCTTCAATTCAATTAAAGTCTTGAATGATCATTCACTTTGATGTAAACCATATAATTAATGAAAGATTGCGTTCATCACAATTGAGGAATATAAGAATTGACACACAATCGAGATCAAGTCGTGCTGAAATAATCTTCTTCTCCTAAGGCGTTATTCGTCGGCACTGGTCCATAAGGACACAGACTGCCGTTTTTATCCACGAAACAACAAGCTTTTATAACTCGCAATACCTCATCCACTGATCGCGGTAGATCTTGGTCATTTATCGTCACGTGGCGTATAATTTGCTGTCTATCTATAATGAATAGAGCTCTATATGCATACCCTTGTTTCTCATTTAATACGCCGTAATCCCGCGCTATTTGATGACTCTTATCGGAGAGCAGTGGAATCTTCATTTCGCCCAAGCCTCCTTGTTTACGTGGGGTCATCACCCACGCGAAGTGCGAGAATTCAGAATCTGTTGAGACTGCTACTACCTCCGAGCCTAGTATAAAACGCAGGAATTAATGATAAGAGAAAAACATTATCACATAAGTATAAAAACTCGAAACAAAGCAGTTTGATAAGTAAAATAACTTCTTTATAAAATTTTGTTTCACGAATTTTTTTTTTTACGAATACTCTTTATTGACTCCGTTATTGAAAATTTTATTTATACTGTCATTAAACGGGGAAGAAAAATATAACTTCGTACCAAGAGCTCGAAATTCAGCAATACGATCACTAAATTGGATAAGTTCGGTGGGGCACGTAAATGAGAAGTCGCATGGATAGAAGAGAAGTATCAGATATTTCCCCGCAAAATGCTCTGACAACAGTTCCTGCATCTTCAGATCGATTATTGCGACAGCCGACCAAGGTGGTGCGGGTCGTGACACTGCTGGTATTAGTTGCTGCATTAGCAGCGAACGCGGCGTTTCTGATCTTTCTGCACAACAAGAGTTCATCTCGTATAATTTTTTACATGAATGATAATATCAATTCTTCAAGATTAGGTATTCCACGCTCCTAAGCCGCAAATCATCTTGATCGCGGATATGTAAAACCATGGCGCATAAAACCGCCATGCACAAAACTTTTTACGATCGATTTGATTTTTGTTTCTCGTCAGACTTCATTCAGTGGCAAGTTTAAAAAAATAAACACACTTTGATTTCTCGTTTAAAAAAAAACTTTTGAAAACTATTGAAATATGTAATAAATATTTATATAAATATAAATTTATGAAATATATATTATGTATAATTATAAATCAAAATATTTATATTTATACATAAATATAATATATAAATATTTTTTTAATTAACGTAGCTGTTAATGTGATGCGATAAACACACGAAATATCTCCTACTTGTCACACATAGTTTGATAAGTGCATTGCTCATTTGGCATCTTATGCATGAGCATGTTGCATGTGTGTATTTTCGTATTACCATATATTCTCTGTAGTTAGAAAGCATGGAAAAAAAAGTAACGTGTAACACGTGGATGTAAGGACTATTAGCGGCAAATTGTTTACCTGATACAAATCTCTGCTACAAGCTAGAGTACAAAGTAAGTAAGCTAATGAACGTTATGTGTGTTGCGTACGTCGTAAAGCTCCGAAAGGAAGTGGCTCCGAGGCTGCAAGGCGTAAGGAACGAAGCCGCAGCAAGTCACCGTTCAGGAGTTTCCGCTGGAGAAAGTCTGCCAAGTCGCCAAGTTTAGATCGCAGTGGCGTGAGTGATGATGAGCACAGTATTCCTGGTAAGTGAATGAAAAAAAGAGACTTAAACAATCGACAGTAATTACACTTTAACGTTTGCTCGTTGGACGTCAAATTTCCTTTTTTTTTTCTTTTTTGTTACACACTTTTATCCCTTGTGTGATTATATTTCAACTTTGCTTTACATGCGTATATTTATAGTACGAAGTATAAAAACGGATGATCCAGACATGGATGATTGACATTTGAAAATAAATGATGTCATTACTAAAAAAAATCGAGAAACTATTATGAGTTCAATTCACGTTCGTGGAATTCTAAATTACTGTCAAAGTATTATTTAGATGGAAGTTGAGATTAAATGGAACCTGGCATTTAATCTCTTTACTAATCAACTATGTTTTGGTTACGTAGATTTTTAACAATCACTTTATTACCTGCTGTATATTCAAGAAGAGCTGCTACACAGTGATTATATGTTGTATGTATAATGGGGAAACACTCTTGGAACTAAATTATATCCTATCATTTATACGTTACGTCTAACAAATAAAGGAATGAGTAATCGGGGCTTGTTTTTGTCTAAGTGCTATTATAAGCATAAATATACAGTATATGTTGGTTGGGAAGTTCAAACGTTAAATAAATGCATTCTTTAAATTAGAATAATTGGTTCGAAAAAAATTGGTTCGAGAGAATTGTTATAACTGGGTATTCCATTGAATGAATGTTGCGACTAATCCCTCAAAATAATATCACTGATTATTTGCAGCTTCATCATCTACTCGAAGCAAGAGATGCAGGCGATTTCCCTCGTATAAATAATTCATAATTTATCCGAAATATATTTTAGTAAATTGCTCCTTATTAAGCGATGGATAGTAAAATCCATTATCTTTTCCAGAGCCACGAAGTCCGAGCGACGATGAGTTCGAGGGGCCGCTACAGCGGAAGCACGAGTGGGAAAGTACAACGAAGAAGGCGTCCAATCGCTCCTGGGACAAAGTATACATGGTCGTACGCGGGCAGAGCTTATTTGTATATAAAGATCAGAAGTCGTACAAAGCTTCGCCCGATCAATCGTACAAAGGAGAGGCTCCTCTTGATCTAAGAGGCGCGACTATTACTGTAGCGAGTGATTACACTAAGAAGAAACATGTCTTCCGAGTCAAGTCAGTGCTCGATATTATTATTATACATATATTTGCATGTTCTGCGACATTGATGTAGATATCAATAAGTAAAGTATCTTTTTTTATAGGTCGCAAAGCGGATCCGACTTCCTGTTCCAGGCCAAAGACGATACCGAAATGAACGACTGGGTATCCGCATTAAATCAAGCGGCACAAGGAACATCAGGTGCAAGCACATCTAGGGCTCACACTTTGCCAGCCCCGACACAAGCCGAAACTAAGCGGCGTAGTTTCTTCACTCTCAAGAAAAAGTAAGTGTTCATTGGGAAATTTTGCTATTGCAATATCGTACACCAGAATTTTAAAATAATATTTGAACGCAAGAATTTTAAGCGAATAAATTGTGTAAAAATTTTACAATGTTGACAAATAAAATATTACTGTCTTACGTCGTAATAAAATTTTAAATCTATGATGGACATCTGATAATGTTGCGAATATTTATATTACGAATTGTGTGAATTATTAAGTTTTGCAGCGTTTTAAGTCGAGACGTGTACTCTTGTATATAAGGTGTCTGTTAATTTGTTATTATCATTGCTTCATCCTTTCGAACACGTCCCGATGAAATTGATAGAGAATATTCTGTTAGCAATAAAAAAATACGCGTTTATCATCTTCCATCACTTTACTTCCCTTTAACAACATTCCTCATATTCTATTTTATAACATTAATTTTTCTTTTCGAAACAATCTTTCTTTTCTTATCGATTCATCTGTTTGAAATATTATTTCAATTAATCATTAAACGACACGAGCAATGTTTTACTTGATTATCGTAGAGAACATTCACGTTATCATTCTCGAGTGACAGACGATCATCTCGTAAAGCATAAGCCAATGATTCGCGAGAAGATGCGCGCCCTCACTTCACATCATATGAAATTCCATCCGTCGTTCCTATCGCATTCGATCATATTGCATTTATCATATTTTAGAAAAGCCAAAAAGTAGAAAGCGAAACCAATGAACGTATGAAACAGTACACAATTGGAACAACATTTAGAAATGCGGTGAGTCGCACACACAATCCTCTAGATCATTCTACCGTCGTACACTATTGCACGATTATAATCGATCATCATTCCAATTTTTTTCTTTTTTTATTTGGTCTTTCGTTGTTATTAGCTTCTGAAAATACAACAGGAATGTTCTTCCAATTGTGAATGCGGAATGATTACATAAAAATTCTCTGAAACGAGAGGATTTGGATGAGTGTAGAGCTTTCTGTATTTCGCCAGCAAATTTTGCCACAAAGTGCTTAAGCGATACACTACAAGAATAATCATAATTGGAGAGATTCTATGTTGATGTAAATTTCTGCAGAGAGTCTACCATCTAAAGATTCTCGTGTAATGGCGGATATGTAAAACGCAATTGTTCTCTACACCGCATCGTTCGACATCTACGTAAATAGGTGCTTTTTAATATGCATATATATATATCTATCCGCTTTCATTTTGAATACTTTTTTTATTTCGCATAAGATAGTGTGTTATGTAGATACTCAGATTATTGTGTATCATTGTCAAGTTCTATATTGTAGCAATGTTCGATCACCCGCTTCTGACATCGTCATTATTCTTCACGCTTTTCTGCTATCAGAATATTCCCAGGAACTTTTATCGTAGAGGTAATCGTCCGATCGTCCGCGTGTCTACTTTCAGACACATGCGAGACACATATTTTATAATATGTGGCTTTTTAAAGACGGAATATTTGCTATTTTTATATATTAGTTATAAGTGATATATAATTGTTTATGATGCGTTGAAATTCTTATATACTAGCATTCTTCTTATGTAACATATGTATTCCACAAATAATAGTGTATAAATGCATAAGCTGCAATAATTGAAAGTAGAAAAAGTATAACGAATTTTTTTTTCAAGTCTTGGGCGATGACTTATTGTCAATTATTGTGATTTATCTTAATTTAAATTTTTGCTAATATTAAACTTTATTTAACGCAACTCATTAAATATCTTGAAAAATTGTAAAATGCATTTTAATGATTTGTTTAAGGATTTTAATTTCCTATAGTATATCCTTTCTCTTATAAGCTCGTCGTCGTATATATAATTGAACTAAATTGTAATACAAGAACAATAATTTGAAGTGACTGTTATTGGTTATCATAATGATAAAATGATTATCACCTTTCACGTTTACTAATTTTCAGCTAAACTGGAGCAGTGAAGTACGGTGTAAAGCCGCTCGTAATGCGTCTGCACAACATCGTGTTTATCAGAAATGTTTCGTCGCTCTACATGGTTAAAGCAACGCTAATATAAAATTAGAAGACATGGCCACGGTGTAATGAAATGAATTGAAGGACGGATTGAACGCGGGTCTTTGAAAACGCCTACTTTCGAAGAACGGAGATATTTAACGGTTATATGTTGATATTTACAAGTGTAGGCTATTGAAAGTCTAATTAAATTTAGTTCTTCAATGAATTTTGGACACTTTGCAATATTGCTAGTTGAAGAACAAGCGACATTTTTCATGTCCCACGTTAGCGTGATCAGACTTTTAACACCGGATTTAATTCTATTACATTTTGCGTATATATTGTCACGCATTAAGATGCACGATCATTTCTTTGTCGCGGAAATAGTGAAATAAATGTCTTCTTTGTGGTACAAAGTATTTTATAAGTTGCTGTGATGTTTTTACATTCAGCAATCTTTTAAGAATGTAATTCGATAGAAGACGGATTCGATCTTGTTGTGTCTGTAAAGAACGTGGATTGGAGGAGATATATCTTGGTCCATGATTTATGATGATTTTTATAGTCTATATTCTATATGATGAGTTCTGATTTTTAACGTCTTTTAATGCATTTTATCGCATTTCATGCGAGTTTTCGCGTTACAGAGTAGATATAATCTCCGACAATATACTAAAAGGAGGGTGAGAACGATTCCAGCCGTGCTGATCGCTTAGGATATATCGCTTTCATTATCATATTATCGCACTGCAGTATTTTACTTGACTTTTTTTCCTGCAAACGTATCTGTTTGCGTTCGGATGACTGCCATATATTTTAAGAGCCACACTAACTTGGGACATAATATTATATAATTAGCTTTTAACAAATTGTTAAATATGCAGCGCCCTAAGGGAATATCACATTGAAGAATTATAAAGAAAATGTAACGCTAACAAGAGAGAGTTTCCTCCCTTCCCTTATCCCTTCCCCCTTACACGATTCCATATATCACACAATTCTGCAAGAGTATTTAAAATCTTTGGACTCGCGTAAATGATACAGTT